AAACAGCGCCACATGGCACCCGAAAATGTGCCCAAGGGCACATAGCTGGAACCGTTGGCTTTTTATTTATTACCAGCAAATAAAAAAAAAAAAAGGAAGAAAAATAATGCTCCAGATGGCGCTGTAGGAGGAAGATGGGGACTTACAGTCCCAAGAAGAAACGAGAGGCGCCCGTCGAAAACGGGCAGCCAAAGTTTGTTTTATTTTTCTTTTTAGATTGTTCTTTCTTAGATCTTCTTTATATTTTTTTTCTTTTTTTCTTTTTAGATGTTTTTACGAGTTACTGAAGATATGCCCGTTCGTCGAAAATGAACAGGCCATATCAAGACTGTTTCGTCGGGGTTTCACCGACTCATCAGGAGGATTGCTCCCCGACAGTCTGGCTTCTTGACGAGGAAGCCAACCATAGGTTGAGCAAAATCGAATGAACCTACCCCCAGAACTCGGGGGTATACAGACAGATAAGTTTTTTTTTTTTTTTTTTTTCCTTCGTTTTCTCCCCTTCCCCGTTCGTGAGCCGTTGAGGCTCGACCAAACAGGGAAAGCGGTAACCTACCTCGTGGCTGGAAGGGAAACAATCTTTTCGACTGTATGGGAGCAAGAAGAGCTCCCACTTCGTTTTGGGAAGAACAGTTGTGGCCGCGAGATCTCAGATCTCGCGGTCCACAGCGTGCGCGTGTGGGAAAGTACTAAGGGAGTAGAAGTGAAGGGGAGAGAGGGAGGATGAGGTAGTTGGGAGGGGGAGGTCCTTCCCCTCCCAAACTGACAGCTGCCCTCCTCGTTTTCAGGGGAGGGCAGAGGGAAAGGTGGAGAGTTGTTGCATGCAACAGCACGCACCTGGCTGAGATAGGAGCCACGTGCAGTAAAAAAATAGAAAGTTAGATTTTTTCTTTTCTTCGCTTTATTTTGAGTGAGGACACTTGTCCTCATGTGGTGCTACCTCTGGCAGCTCTGGCAACTGCCAGGCTCCCGTTTTTGCAGGGAGCTTGGAAATTGAAGGGCCACTAAGGAAAAGGCTAGATACAGCCTTTTCCCCGATGTATCTGCCCTGGGAAAAGGTTCCACATACATCAAATTGTAAAGGGTTGTATCTTTCCAACCCCTTATCAGAAAAGTAAAAGAAAAATGGTTTTGGAAATGGGAGGAACCCAGCTATCTCGTGAGATTCCGAGATAGTTGGAAAATATATATATATATATAAAAAAGGGCAGTTAAAGAAATTGCCCCGCACTAAGGCTGTGGCTGTGGTGCGGCCACAGTCAACCCTGGATCCTGACTAGATCAAGGGCTCACAGTGAGCACGCGATTTTGCCTGGGGGTTGGAGTGACGTCCAGCCCTTCTCAGCCAATATAAAACAGGCAGCTGCCACACAATGCACTCGTGATGCCAGTGTGTGACGAGCACACTTGAGGGTTGCTGGCTGCTTGAGCTGCTGCCTGAGGCAACGTGAGGAGAGGCTGGAGATCTGTAGAGGAGCGCAAGGAGGAGAGTTGGGCAGCCATAGCCAAGGCAGGGAGCACTCTGCTCCCCTCCCCTCTGGCTGGTGCTGGTCCCACGGGACAGACCCAGGGACGCTGCGGGACTACGACAGTGCGGCTAAGTGGAATTTGGGCCTAGGGCCCAAATTTCACTAATTTTCTAGGTAGCATGGGTTATCTGGCCGGATAATCTGGTCGGATTATCTGGCCGGATGATCCGGTGGTAGGATCATCCGGAAATCCGGATGATTAAAAAAAAGGCCTAAAAAAAAAAAAAAAAAAAAAAAAAAAAAAAAAAAAAAAAAAAAAAAAAAAAAAGTGATATTGCGCATGCAAAATACAATAGAACTACGTTCTTATTTCATGAAAAGCTTGATAGGGCCTGGAAGGGTTCAAAGGGGATAAGATAGGGAATAAAGGGGTTTAGAGAGGGGATGCTTAATTCATTCTATAATTTTTTTAATCTAAATATTGTTTTCTTGTGCTGTTTTATTTTTAATCTTCAAATCTGTTGAGTAATCAAAGATGACCCTCAGCCAAAAGTTGTTTATATCATTGATATGAACAACATATGTGTTTTTCAGATTTTTTTGAATTTTTATTTTTTTCGGTAAAAAAAAATATATTTTGCGCAGGGCCGGATTTGCCATATCCGGAATTAATCCGGAAATTTCATCCGGATTGAAAATTTCGGATAGAATTGGTCTGCCGGATATCCGGATTTGCTACTTAGCTAATTTTGGCCAACCATTTTCTCACTGCAGTGGGGAAGTGCTGCCGAATTTTTGCGGCGCCGGCACTAAGATTTACGGCAGTGGTACGGAAGTGCTGCCGAATTTCTGTGGCGGTGGCACTAAGTTTTACGGCGGTGGTACAGAAGTGCTGCCAAACTTTTACCGCAGTGATGCAGGCTTTTACGGCGGGGGTACAGAAGTGCTGCCGAACTTTTGCGGCGGCGACGCAGGCTTTTACGGCGGTGTTACGGAAGTGTTGCCAAACTTTTGCGGTGACGACGCAAACTCTTACGGCGGTGGTACGGAAGTGCTGCCAAACTTTTGCGGCGGCGACGCAGGCTTTTACGGCGGGGGTACGGAAGTGCTGCCGAACTTTTGCGACGGCGACACAGGCTTTTACGACGGTGGTACGGAAGTGCCGCCAAACTTTTGTGGCGACGACGCAAACTTTTCCGGCGGTGGTACGGAAGCGCTGCTGAAATTTTACGGTGACGACACCAGGTTTTACGGCAGTGGTGCAGAAGCACTACTGAAATTTTGCAGCGGCCACACTACGTTTTACGGCGATAGCGCGGAAGCGCTGTCGATTTTTTTCACAACGACGGCACGGGATTTACGGAGGTGACGACAGTATTTTTGCGTTGAGCAGCAACTGGGCTTTGACGCAGAGAAGGTGCCGCTAGAGTGGTGTGCTTTGGGGTGGAGTGGACTTGACGGCGCAGTAACGCGGTGACGGCAGAAGCAATTGGCAGTGACACTTACTGAAAAGTAAGTGGGAGGGGTGTTGTGGCAGGTGGTCGCAGCAAGAGAATGGTGTCGATCACTCTGTTGACGACCGGGGCGACCACCGTCACGTCAAAAGGAGCGTAATTTTATACGGTCTTCTTGAGTGTACCGTACAACTTCACTCAATGTTAGTGGCTAATCAATTGACTCGGAGCCTTTCACGCCTGAGTGAATCCACACTTTGCTCGACCCTGTTCTTTGAATGTTCACTGAAAGGCAGAGGAAAGGTATGTTTGCGTTTGTGAATGTAAGTCTGACCCGAGTCTGGGTCTGCATTGCTTTCATTCTGCTGAACTTGTCGTCTTATCTGACTGCAGGTGTGGCTTATTGAAATGGAAGTGAGTTTGACCGTGGAATGACTAATGTTTGGATATTCTTATTTCTCCACACTCGTATGTATGCGTCAAACCAAAAGGGGAAGAAGATGACGAAAAATAAAGCGATCACAAAGAAAAGAAGTCTGAATGGATATTTCCAAGGTCACCGATTCTTCTCCGAATGACCCTCTCTGACTATGCCCGTCCGTGTGAATGATTTTCCTTTCTATGATCATTTTTCGTCTAAGTCGTTTCCTGACGTCAGGCGGCAAGAGGTCGATGGTCCACTGTGATAAATTTCTTCCCTTTCTCTAGGAGGCATCTGAGGCAGGGGTTCGTTGCCTTAGGGGCCGGCCCTGTTATCGACTCGGAGTGGACCGCTTTGCGGGGGGGTCCATGTTGTTGCGGTGGAGCCAGCCCGACTTCTGAGTTCCGAGGTTCTCTCGGGCGAGGACGAGGGGTATCCCAGACCACCTCCTAGGGGAAGGACGTGTGTATATTCACGAAAAAGCCTTTAAGATTTCTTGGCGTCATGCGTCAGGAAGGACTGTTGTAGTATACCCTTTTTTGGTGACCATATTAGGAGTCACGGACGCATGGGGAACTGGTGCCATAAGCAGCCCAGTTCATGTCATACTAGTTTAACTTTCGAGGACGATTGCGCCAAAAGAAGCACGATCAAGGAAGCACGATCAGGTGGGAAAGGGGGTGTCTGAACAATACTTGGTGGCAAAGATTTTAACTTAACCATCCTCGTCTTTTCAGAATGAAGCTAGGACGACAGTCTGCCACCTTTTTCGCGATCGTGATGCAGCGGCAGAGCGGGTCGAGTCCCGGAGACTTAATGGAGAGAGATTAGAGAGGATAGGACGACTAGTCTACAATCCGTATGAATTATACTCTGAGGAGGATATTCCACGACTTTGGGGAAGCAATGCTCGGAATCCCCCTAGACGACTTATTTTCAGTTCAAGAACCGGACTGGACATCCTACACTATGAGTTTGTGCCACCATTGCCTGAGCGTAACTTCGCTAATATGAACTTAGTGGTGATGCAGCCATATGAGATTAATCCGTTAATGGACAAGATCCCCGAGATACACTCATGACCAATGGACCCCGGAAAATACGTCGAATTGGATAGCGAAGCTTATTTACGAAGGGTTGGCGAAATCGCTAAAAACGTTTGGCGAAATCTTGGTTTGGGCTATTGAAGAGGAAATCTCTATTTATGAGTTCGTGTTTTGAGAACAATGAAGTGTCTTTTTTTAGAGAATTACAAGTTATAGGCAATCACGAATATCTCAGAATTAAGTTATGTCCATTGGTCATAAGTGAGAATTGCACTTCCGGTTTTACTTAGTCGTTTTTTGGGGGAGGTGATGATATCCCGACGTGCGTTCGGGATTTCGGTACCGAAAACGCACTTCGGGATTTCGGGATTTTACTTCGTTGTATTTTTTTTTTGGGGGGGGGGTTATATCCCAACGTGCATTCGGTATTTCGGCACCGAAAACCCACTTCGGGATTTCGGGATTTTACTTAGTCGTTTTTTTTTGGGGGGGGGGATTATATCCCGACGTGCGTTCGGGATTCCGGTACCGAAACCGCACTTTGGGATTTCGGGATTTTACTTAGTCATTTTTTTGGGGGGGGGTTATATCCCGATGTGCGTTCGGGATTTCAGTACCGAAAACGCACTTCGGGATTTCCGGATTTTACTTAGTCGTAGTTTTTTTTGGGAGGGGGGTTATATCCCGACGTGCGTTCGCAATTTCCGTACCAAAAGCACACTTCGGGATTTCGGGATTTTACTTAGTCGTTTTTTTTGGGCGGTGATTATATCCCGACGTGCATTCGGGATTTCGGCACCGAAAACGCACTTCGGGATTTCGGGATTTTACTTAGTCGTTTTTTTTTTGGGGGGGGGG